AACTGGAGCGCCCGAAATAGAATTTCGGGCGCTGGCGGCTAGTAGTAGTAGTAGCGGTGGTGGTGGTAGTAGTAGTAGTAGTAGTAGTAGCAGTAGCAGTAGCAGTAGCTGTAGCTGTAGCTGTAGCTGTAGCTGTAAGCAGTAGCAGCAGCAGTAGCAGGTAGCAGCCATACTAGCAGGACCCTCAAGAATCACATGTATTCAGCAGAGTCGTTCACAGTCATATCCCTGTGTTACATGTCTGGTAGAAAGAGTATCAACGTGATAAGTACATTTTTCTGCCGATTGGTACTAGTACCATCCAGGTGTACCGCACTTTTCGTAGGTGCACCCAATGCCGGAAAGTCAGTCCCTGGATCAGATTTGCAGCTTTCAGACAGGGTGCCCGAAGGAGGGCAGACGACGATCGCAAGTACAAGAGTCGGCTTGCTTTTTCAAAATATGCTTACAGATGTCACATACCCTCAATGAAATGATTAGACAAGGATAGTATTGGACAGTTTTTTGCAAACCATGCTGGGATGCGCTTGTGCTGAACTGGAATTGAGGAAAAGGTGGCTATGCCATGGTGGTGCAGGGTCACTACGCAGGCCTCGTGGCGTCAGCCAGCTTCTGCCCTTCTGCCTATGTAATGCGAGAAGAGCTGTTCACTGAAAACTGCATGCTTTGAACGTGAAGAGCTGTTGAAGTCAACAGTTTGCTCGAAATAGTTTTGTTTGTATCAAGGACAGCTGTTGAACATGCAGTGTCTTGTGACTTCACCCCTGGGCTAAGCTTTCGTTGACATTGATCCAAAAGGTGCGAGGGTGGCTGTGAAGATGCCATCGAAGGAGCAGCTCTGCACGTGGAAGCCTTGGCATCTCAGATCTGTTGCCATGTGTGAACCATACTTGCAATTTTGTCAAAGTTGGTCGTTTCACCTGAGAATGGATCTGTCCATGGTTGTTGAGGTCCAAAGAGGTGGCGGACTTCTTTGGCAAGGTGGGCTGCCCAGCCGCGTCGAGACTTGCAACCTGAGTTTCTGAAGTTGTAAGGCATCGGTAGAAATGGTCGCTGTGATTGGTGATGGACGTCTCTTAAGCCTGCAGTCCTAAAGCTTCTGTGGCTACGGCATCCTCAGACTCCACTAAATACCCTTCGCTGCAACAAGAACAGTTGTAAGAGGGCACAAGCTTCCAAGCATGACTGTCAAGCTTTGTGCAGGAGCTGAGGGTGCTCCGCCACTTGCGGCATCCGCTTCTTGTCATGACCAGTCTAGAGCTTCGCTAATGTAGTTGTTGATGGAGGGCACTGCTCTTCTTACCCATTCTACTTGTACCTACCGCAACCATAGTGTCCTACGTTTCCTCTACTCCTCCTGCTTGTGCTGATCCTCCTGCAGCTGCTATTGCTACATGGCTACCATTTCCACGATGATCACCACAACAGATGCTTTCCTGCTTCTCGTCCTACCCCACTGGCGGCAGCGACGACACTCCGCCCACTGTTGTTGTGGCATGTCATGGCGATGACGTTTCTGTGGCTACCAGGTTGCTGCCATTGTGCTTTCGTTTGTATTCCGCCTTAAAAGCATTTGCTTTGCTTAATGCCCCTTGGCCTGCAAGCGCTTGTAGGTTCATCGTAAATTTCTTCGGCGCCTGCATCGAGGAGTCTAAGCAGTTGGTGGTTCTGATCGAGGAGCTGCTTGATGGTTCTTGATTCCCAGAACAGACGCTGTCTGGATAGGCAGGCATCTTCCTCGAGTGAGAATGGCCATGGAGCAGCTTTGCACTAGCAAGAAGAGGCCCATTTGCTTGTTTTGGAGGAGTTCATTGACGGAGCGAGTCTGCACGCAGCTGTGCTGCAAACATGCTCTTGATATTGCCAGACCAGGCCACCAGCCTCACCTCCTCGTGGAAATGCCGGTGAAAGCAATAAAGCCACCAAGGATGGGTAACAGGCATAAATGCATGAAGGTGAACAAACATCACACCAATGCTGCCGCGCAAGCAACATTTGAGTGATGTCAGCTGCTGCAGTGCGCGCAAGAAAGAAAACCAGAAAATCTAAGGACGTGATCCTCTTCAAGAAGGATGACGAACGGCCCCTATGCGAGCAAGACTTGTCCATAGTTATAACATGCCTCAGGATTTTTTTTGCACAGCAGCAGCAAGCGCAGCCACCCCAAAGCCCCAGACCCCTTGACATCCAGCTTGACGCGCGAAGCATCGACAAGCACTTACCTTTGTATCGCAAGGCTCACAGAGGATGCGAGATGGCAGATCCTTTCCTCCGCAGCTCGTCAGCCTTTCTTGCAACACAGGGTGGGAAGCATGTGCAGAGGAAGCAAAGGATACACAAAGAGAGTCAGCAATTGGCCAAGATGGAGTGCCTTCCAGTGGTCGACATTGGGGAATGGGTTGCAGTCTTGTGCGGCAGAAGGTCACTGTGACTCCGAGGAACCAGAGGAAGCTGGGATGGGGAAGCCTTTGCAGGGACACCACCCGAAATGTCGTGATGGCGGCGCAACCGCCAAGAGTCAACACCGCCCGCCCAATTGGGATCTGAAGGGTGCTGGGTAGTCCAGTGGCACAACGAAGAAATCTTGCAATGAAGTAGGCGTTTCAACGAGCATGTGCAATTCGTGGCATTGAGGGGATTGAAGAGTGGTCTTTGCAAGATGCGGAGCTCCTCTCTGCTCTGCAAGCTTTGTAGCAAGCCCCTGCGTGAGGTTTGTCACGCCCTGGCCTATTTGCACGAACAGGCGCCGTGAGCCAGCTTCTCCCACCGGTTGGGCCAGTGTTAGTTTCCGCATGTTGCTGCTCATTTCTGCGCAGAAAGACTCGTCACAGATGTCCGCAGCATTTGTGCACACATTCAGCTCATGTGTTTTACATCTCTCGTCAGGGGCCTTCCATCCTACATGGAGACCTGTCTGCCAAGAACATCATGCTGAGAGCACACAGGCTCAGGGGATACGGTTCTGTTAGATTGACAGCTGAGGGATGACGTGCTTGTGCGACAGATTTCTGTCAAGGTTGTGGTGGGGTGTCATGTCCAGCAACTGTAACCAGAAATGTCTGCACGCATGATTATGTTCTAACCATCCAGAATTGCTGCAAGGTGAGCTGCTTCCGTTGCGAAGTGAGCAGTACTCGTGTTGGGGGTCTGTAGATGGTATGTCGAGAGCTGGAAGACCCCTTGGCATCAAGTCCCCAAAGCCTGTGGCCAGTTTGGAGCCTGTGCTCATTGACTTTGGTATGGCTGTCCTGCAGAAGTCGCGGCAGAAGATCCAGGGAGGCTGGGCCAGAAAGCGGCATTGCTGTTCTGATGCTAGGAGGTGTAGGAGTAGTGCAGCAGCAGTGGTAGCCTTAGCAGTGGTGGCACGTGACGACCAGGAGGACAAGAGCTAGATTGTAACCCTAAAAACTTCTATGGCCCCTTCAGCAGCATAGCGCTGGGGACAGGCTTGAAATGAAAGTACTCACTTAGAAGGTGCGTTGCCAAAGAAGGCGAACAAGGTGGAACAGGCTTGAAATGCCACCATTTACTGAATGTCCAGGCCCAGAAAATGCAAGTCTTGATCGAGCCTTAGACTCCTCTATAGCGTGAAGGTTCTCCGCGATGGATGGCGCCGGAGCTGATTGTCTCCTTAAGCCACGGAGGGCTTAATCCAGGCAAGGGGGCTTTTGGCAGTATTTTCTAGTCTGGTGTAAAAGCAGCAGGTTCTGGTTCGCGGGTTTTCAGTTGTCTGTTCCAGTTCGGCCGGTTCGGTTCATATCAGGTGCAGGTCCATGCTCCGAGGTCATTTGAAAGAATTATGTTTATGCAATTTCTTGGATGGATGTAGAGCCAATGGTTCGAGTCGCGCAGGGGATAGGAGCCTGATCATGAAGCCCCTGACCCAGACTGTAGCGTGGACATGTTCTCCTTTGGTCGGATCTGCTTCTTTGTCGTGACGGGGCAACTGCCGCTGCAGCAGTACACGGTGGATCAACTGACGCCTGTCTGTAGAAGGACATCTCTCAGAAACATGACTGTAGCTCTTCTGATGTACAACGAATCAACTGCCGAACCCTGCGGCCTGATTTGAGTTGTTAACTGATGCGTTGTGACTGCACAGGCCATCAGATCGGTGATCATTCGCCCAATGAGCTACAGTCCAAACTCCTTAAAGGGGACTATTTACTACTATAGGGGTTCTTAAGGGGGGATGCTAGGAGTTTAGACTATAACCCCCTATATAATCCCAGTTTCCATTTCATTTTCCATTTGATTCTCCATTATAATAGTTTTCATTTTCTTTTCCATTATCCCAAAATAGACCCTAATATATCCCCAATATTATACCCTATATAGCCCATTATAGTAGTTTCCATTTTATTTTCCATTATCCCAATATTTTACTACTATAGCCCTATAGAACCACTATATAACCCTATAACGTGGTAGTTTCCATTTTCTTTTCCATTATCCCAATATAACCCCCATAAAACATAGTAGTTTCCATTATGATTCCATAAGCCTTTGAGCTTAGGATGGCAGCTTCCAGAACTGGGGCGCTGCCGCCTATGCAGTGGCCAGACCTGCGAGTGCCTGGGCTGGCTCTTTGCTAAGAAGACCTAGGGATATGGGTTTATAGGGGGAATGGAAAATGAAATGGAAACCCAGGGTCCCTTTAAAGGGGTGTATAGGGTATAGGGATATTACCCCCAACAATGGAGAATCAAATGGAAAAGAAAATGGAAAATGAAATGGAAGTTGGGATTATGTGGGGGTTTATAGGGATTGGGGAAGACCCAAAGGCCCTGAACCATCCTGAACCCCTGCTGCGCTGCGCTTGTGAATGCTTGAGCGTCATATTGGCCGACGCAATTAAATTGAAAAAAGCATTGAATGTTCTTAGACGAGAGTAAGTATTGTAGAAATTGCCAATTGCAAGCAGGTGTGATGCTAAACTCTGGTCTTCGGAGCAAACTTTGAACTTTCATCCAAGCAGAAGAGTGACAAGCGTGTAAATGCTGAGTGCTTATGCGAGCTGTTTGAGTTGCTTCAGGAGGGCAAGTTGAGGGCATTCTGCGAGGCACACCTCGGGCGTGTTGCATCATGTCACTTAGATCTGGTGTTGCTGTTGCCCACTTAACCTCTACGCGGTAGCCGCTTGTGAAAGATTTGTAGTAGAAATTGCTTTTCTCAGCCCTTGAGGTGCACTGAGAGAGATATGCATCATGCCTCACGGGCCCTGGCAATTTGACATGAGCCTGCAAAAGAAAGTACATGCGCATTGTACTTACAACTGCAACTCGGATTGCTAGAAGCGCACTTTGCATGCATGTGTTGTAACAGTTGTCATTCAATCAGCCCGACGCAACTTGGAATGCAGGAAGAGCTCTGCGCCGACCTTGGCTTTCTCCCCAAGGTGACGGGTGAACTTCTGCAGTTTTGGGTGCATGTGGTGGAAATCGCAGAGGCCAAGCGACCTAGCCCAGTATGTGAAACACTCAGGTCCTCAGTGTGTGGCTGCCAATCCTGACGACCGATGTACTGCCGCAGAGGTGGGGATCTATGCGTATTAAATGAGCTAAAGTTTAAACTCCTTCAAGAGGGTTACGTAGGGGATTATTCTAGGGCGTATTAAGGGAGATTAGACTACACTGTGGCTCGTATGAGTCCATTTCACGGGCTTCGCAGGAGATGTCAGCAGAGCACAATGGACACCAGAATTTAGGGCTTGGGGTTCAGGAGATCTGGTATCTAACAAGCAAAGGCATGCAATGATGCATTGCATGGCAAATGCTTGCCCGCGGATATTGAGCCATCCTTTTCAGCTTTGGTGATTTCTTATGCAGATCCACCCGGCTTCACAGG